TTCTTTCTCTTATCATTACCAGCTTTCACAGATTTTATGGCTTGTGATGTCTGCTCACACTGTTCTTAACGACCACGCTTTGCTTATTGACACCAGGAGGGTGACTGCCATCTGTACCAACACTATCAGAACTGCACAGACATCTTCATTTTACGTTCTGTTGTGCTAGTGTTTGAGGGGAGGGGAGTGGGGAAGGGACAAGAACAAAGCAGATAAATAATAGTGAGAAACTATGAGAGGGAAAGAAGGTTTCTGTTAATTGGAAGTAGGTTAGAAGATACATTTTTAAAAAAATATATATTTTTATTGATTTTTTTACAGAGAAGAAGGTAGAGGGATCCCTTACTGGGGATGTGCCCGCAACCAAGGTACGTGCCCTTGACTGGAATCCAACCTGGGACCTTCAGTCCGCAGGCCGATGCTCTATACTCTGAGCCAAACCAGTTTCGGCTAGAAGAAACATTTTTACTCAGTTATTCACACACCTTGGAGCCCAGCTCTTCTGGGTTATTACAAAGCAGTCCACAAATCCTGCTCAGAACGAATATGACTACATTCTAGTCAGAGAGAGAGATGAAGAATGGGTAACAAGTATTAGCACGTGGTAATCTAGGTGAAGACAATTTGGTGGCTCACTGTTCTCTCAGTTTTCCAGTGGGTTTGATTTTTTTTTTAAACAAAAAATAAAATTTTAAAAAGCATCATAAAATTAAAAGTAACAACTGGAAAGACATTTGCAGCAGATGATACAAAAACTAATAATAGTCATAAATACAAAGAGCTCTTGACAACAAAAAATACTTGACCTAGACAAAAGGACATCAACAGAGAAATGCAAGCAGCCAGTATTTATATGAAAAATATTAAACCACGAAAATGTAAATTGATATATTACTACTACTTTTTCTTTACAACTTAGCAAAACAGGTCACTTAACTACCCTAATACTTAGTGCTCATGAGGGGCAGCAGGATGGCCATACTTTTCTATTATTGGTGGAGGCATAAAGTTCTTAAAGGCAATTTTTTTTCCCCAAAATATGTGAGATTTTTAAAATTATTATTTTTAATTTAGTAGTTATACCTTTAGGAATTTATCCTAATAAATAAGGAGTGATACAGGAAACTCAGCATAAATTTATTACAGTGTTATATCTAATACCGATACATTTGAAGACACCTTAAATGTTAACAGTAAAATAATTATTAAATCTAAAATATGTTTATATGTGTATTATATATCTACTAAAATGAATATTGTCCAGTAAGTTTTAATGACCTGGAAAAACTCTCACAGTATATGTTGAGGGAAGGGAAAGCAGGATATAACATTATATCCCAATGCAAATACACTTATAAATACATAATCCATGAAAGGAAAAGGCTTCATAGGAAATATATTAAGAGTGAGAAGGGTCTGGGCAGAGGGGCGTAAAGGAGAGAAATGGGAGACATATATAATACTGTGTGTGTGTGTGTGTGTGTGTGTGTGTGTGTGTACTAGAGGCCCAGCACGCATGAAATCATGTATGAGTAGCTCACTTCCACTTGCCTCAGCTGGCTGTCCCAAACATCGCTGCTGCTCTTCTTGCGCCCTGCCCCACCCGCTGTGAGAGAAACTGCTTGTTTGGTCGTGATGGCGTTATAGCATGATGGCCATGGGCCTTTTATATAAGATACTAGAGGCCCTTTGCATGATATTCCTGCAAGAATAGGCCTTCCTTCCCCTGGCTTCACTCCCAACTGCCCAGGAGACAGCAAGTCCTCACTTTTGTCCAGAGCACCACTCCTAAAGCTCCCTCTGCTGCCTCCCTCCCCCTCATAGCAGGCATCCTGCCCCTCCCAGCTGCTCTGAGCCTGCATATGCAAATTAACCCATCATCTTTATTAGGTTAATTTGCATACTTACTCTGATTGGCTGTGAGTATAGCAGAGGTATGGTCAATTTACATGTTTGTCTATTATTAGGTAAGATATATATAAAGCAAGTTTCATTTCTAGGAAGATGGTGTATTGCTTCTTCTAAATACAGCTAAAAGCCCTGGACATCTACACTAATAAAAGAGAAGGATGCAAATTGACTGTACCTTCGAGACACCCACCATCTAATCAGGAGTATGCAAATTAACCCAACAAAGATGGTGGATTAATTTGCATATGCAGGTGCCAAGTGGCAGGGGGCGGGGCAGGATGCAGGTGCTCAGCACTGCCCCTGCAGCTCCGGGCCTCTGGCTAGCATGGGAAAGTGGAAAGGCAGCTCAGGGCTGGAGCAAAGGCAGAAAGGTGGCTCTAGGCAACAGGGAAGGCAGTGCTGGCAGCAGGGGAAGGAAGCCCCATTCTTGCACAAATGTTTGTGCATTGGGTCTCGAGTTATATGTATAATAAAGTTAAGAAGACTTTGAAGGATGAAGCGGAGGTATACCAGTTAGAAACCTTGGGACACAAGGAAGAACAAGGTGCTGAGATCCCTGGGTTTTCTTTTTGCTTTATATATCCCATCATAAGGTATCATTTTCCTTTTTCTCTGAAGAATTTCTTTTAACATTTCTTGCAAGACACGTTTCAGTTTTTGTTCATCTGAGAACATCATTATTTCCCCTTCATTTTTTAAGGATAATTTCACTAGAGACAGAATTCCAGGTTAGTGGGTTTTTTTCTTCCTAAATTTCCAGTCTCTTCTTGCTGGCATGGTTTATTAATAGAAGTTCAATATAATTCTCATCCTTGTTCTATAGGTAAGTTAGATTTCATTTTCCCACATTTCCTGGATAGTCTGTTCTGTTTGTTCAGTCCTTTTTCTCCTTGCATGTCAGTTTTGGAATTTATATTGATATTTCTTCAAACTCACTGATTCATTCTTTGGTTGTATCCAGTTTATTGATAATCCTATCAAAGGCAATCTTTATTTCTTAAGAGTGCTTTTTATTTCTAGCATTTCCTTTTGGTTCTTTCTTAGATTTTTTTTTTAAAAAAATATATTTTATTGATTTTCTTACAGAGAGGAAGGAAGAGAGATAAGAGAGCTAGAAATGTTAATGAGAGAGAAACATCGACCAGCTGCCTCTTGCACACCCTCTACCGGAGATGTGCCCGCAACCAATGTACATGCCTTTGACTGGAATTGAACCTGGGACCTTTCAGTCCGCAGACCAACGCTCTATCCACTGAGCAAAACCGGCTTTGGCCAGACTTTTTTTTTTTTTTTAATTGATCTTAAAGAGAAGGAGGAAAGGGAGAAAGGAGAAAGAGAGAGGAGAGAGAGGGAAAGAGAAAATGAGAGAGAGAGAGAAAGAGAGAGAATCAGTCACTTCTACATACACCCCAGTGGGGAAATTAACCCACAACCCAGACATGTGTTCTGACCAGGAATCAAACCCACTGCCTTCTATTGTCCAAGATGACACCCCAGCCAATCGAGCCACACCAGCAAGAGCCAAACATTTTGTCTGTCCTTTCAGCATGCCTTGTCATTTTCTGTTGATGTATGAGGTAATAGGAATAGAGGTAAATAGGCCTTCATCTGGTCGGTTATGCTGTGTTTACTGTCTGCTGTAACTCCAGGAGGCTTCCATGTCCTCCACTGTCCGTTTTGTCTTCCCCGTTGTCTTTGGGTTTCCCTAGTTAACTCCTTCCTAAATAGAACCTTGCATAGTCCTCTAAAGATACAGTGTGTGTTGGAGGGGAGCATTTGATAATCCTGTGATTAGGTCTAAGTCTGTTAATAGGTCTATGTCCCTGGATTGTCACCTTCACAAGTTTTTCTCTGCATTTCCCCCTTATTTGAGACAGGAAGACCAGAGGAGTTTGAAGTTGGCTAATTGCCCTTCTTCAGGTCAGATAAAGCTTTGGTAAAATAGTTTTCCTCAAGATCTTGCCTTTATAACAGAGAACAAAACAAAGAATAGAATTCTCTGGGAGTGGTTTTGAAATGGTTTATTTTCCCTTCTCTCTGCTGGTAGAGGAGAGGATTTTTCTCTGATGTTTCCCATGAGACCATGGTGGGGCTCCTGGAGGTAAAACTCATGAAGGTAGGGCTCTCCCTAAGACTTGGCCCCGTGGAGTTTTTAACTTTCAAGCTAATCCATAGAGCCTCCCGTGATCTGTCAGTTGGAGTGTAAGTGCTCTTGCCAGCATGAACTTCAGCAGCAGCTTCCATTCTTGGTCTTTCTCTACCTCTCTTGGGTGTGCGGGGCGGCAGCAGTTCTCCGTGATCCAAATTCTCTGATGGTTCTAAGAGGAGCTGTTTCTTCTTGTTGTAACGTTGGGAGTGATAACATCCAAGCTCTCTACATATTGGGGTGAAACCAGAAGCTCATAAATTACTTTCTAACGATAATTTGGCACAAGTGGCTATCACAGTAGAATCAAGAGGTTGAGATTTATTGATCTTAATTATGTTGACCACTTTAAAGAACTGCTTTTCAATTAAAAATGTTAAGACATGCCTATATTCATTCTTACAACTTTATTTTGTTTTACATTTGTCTTTCATGGAACTGCCCACTGCTTAATAAGGAGGATCTGTAACTATCTTTGATTCTTAAGTCTTTGTAATTACATAAAATGGTAGAGGTTTAAAGAATGTAAGTATGAACTGCTTTCGGGGAACCGGCATTTTGGATATATTTAACATTGGCTACCCTGTGATTTTATTTTATTAAACAAAGTACAGCATATTGTGTTTTTCTTTACCAAGAAATGTTTTATAGTTCAGTAATTATGTCACTTGTGCACCATTAAACTCAGCCAGTCATAGAGATTTCTATTCATGCTTTAATGGTCTTTATCAGACTTGGAAGTTCATATGCTTAATAAACAACTGCAGTTTTATACCTACAAAAGTGCTAAAAATTTGTCTAATATGTTATAATTACCAATAGAATATTTCCCGTAAAATCTAATTGATATTCTATTCTCAAAACTATGATGCATTGTTTTTAACTATAATTTGTGAAGCTTTTAAGATAGAAAATTTGATTTGAAATTATTATTTTTCCTTAGGTTGCTTCCAACTGTAATTGATCAGAAATTATTTATTTTCCCTTTGGAATCTGAGGATAAATTTTGGCCATCCCGAAGACAGGGCAGTGTATTTCCACAGGCCTTTCCAAGAACAAAGGTAGGAATAGAGAAATCTATTATGAAACAGAGTAAATTAGTGGTTTGCTAGAGGCTGGGGCAGTGACTCTAATGAGTACCAAGTTTCTTTGAGGATAAAAATGTTCTGGAATTAGATAGTGGTGACAGTTGCACGATTCTGAATTATTAAACACCATCTAGGTGTACACTTTAAAAAGGAGAATTTAAAGTATACGATTTATCCTATATACTAAAGGGGTAATAGGCAAATTAATCCTCATGCCCTCACAAGATGGCTGCCTAAGACCAGACCAGCAGGGGGATTAATGAGGGATGACCAAACAACTGAACAAGCAGGCTGCAAGGGGCAACCAGGCCAGCAGGAGGGGCCTTGAGGGGTGACCAGGCAGGGATGGGGGGTATTTGGAGGCAACCAGGCCAGTAGGGGGGTGCAGTTGGGGACAACCAGGTCGAGAGGAGGGGGCAGTTAGGGGCAACCAGGCCAGCAGTGGGGGGCATTTAGGGGTGACCAGGCTGGCATGCAGAGGCAATGAGGGGCAATCAGGCTGGCAGGGGGAAGGGCAGTTAGGGGTGACCATGCAGGCAAGTGAGAGATTAGGAGCCAGTGGCTAGGATTGTAAGAGGGATGTCCAAGGGGTCCCAGATTGGAAAGGGTGCAGGCTGGGCTGAGGGGACTCCTCCCCAATGCATGAATTTTGTGCACTAGGCCTCTAGTATCTCAATAAAGTGGTTAGAAAAAAAAGTTAAGAATAAAGTTAGGAAATTTGATTTGTGTCTAAATGAAAAAAACATGTCATTGTTTTTTCAGATATATTTATGGCATGGTCAGTTTCTCTGACAAGTGCTTTCTTCAGAAAGCAAAATAAATCAGAACAGAATGCCTTCAAATTTTTAAACAGAGTCCTATTAAAGTTTCCAGGTGGCAAGACTAAAGCTCAAGAGGTGTCTGACTTTGCCTCCTTTGGTGGTCTTTTAAATTTTCTCTTGTTACCTTCCTAACTCACCAAGGTAATAATAGCTCCCTTCTCTTCAGAACCAGGTACTGTTGTCAGTTCTTTGGGAATACTAACTTGTTTAACCTTCAGAATGGTCCTAGGAGGAGGTGTTATTGTTATTACCTTCATTTTATCAATGAAGAAACCAAAGTAAAGAATGTTAAATAATTTGCACCCTCTTGCAATCTGGGACCCCTTGGGGGATGTCAGAGAGCTGGTTTCAGCCCGATCCCCACAGGCTAGGCCAAGGAACCCCACCAGTGTACGAATCCATGCACCAGGCCTCTAGTATGCATATTAGATCTTTGGTTATCTCTTCCTGCCCTCCCCTTTTCCCTCTGAGATTTATTAGTCTGTTCCATGTTTCCATGCCTGTGCATTGAGCATCTGCCCCCTGGTGGTCATTGTGTGTCAGACTTACTGGCCAGTCAACTGGTTGGCTGGTCGCTTAGGCTTTTATATATATATATATATATATATATATATATATATATATATATATATATATATAAGGTTTGTCTTTCCACTAGATTATAAGGAGGGCAGGATCCATGTCAGTTTGTTCATTGCTCTATAATTCTAGGGAACTCTCAATAAATGTTGACTAAATAAATGAAACCACCCAGTAGGTTCTAAGGGTGTACTCATCCCCATAACATATTAGTCCAGGCTACACTCCCAAAGCAGCCTGCTCCCACCTTTGTCATTGTACTGGGTTTGTCCAGCCACTCCCTGTGGTGTATGTACACTGTGCCAAGGACTGTTGGAGCCACACGGGGCTGAACAGTTTGGACTAGATCCCTGCTTTCATAGACCTTACTCAGCTCATCGATAAGAAAATACCAGGTAATAATAAAGGCTTTAATGAAAAGAGAATGCTGTGATAAATGGAGCTTAAACTTCTTTACTATTAAGTATCTGCTTCAGTTAAATTTATTTATTTATTTATTTATTTATTTATTGCCAAGAATCTTGGGTGGACCATAGTTGGTCCACAAGTACAAGGTTTGAGATCTCTGGTTTACAAAGATATTAAAATACAATATCTGAAATTATGACTGTTGTTGAATGTATAATCGCCTGATTATTCCAGGGGGGAGGGGGGAAATACCATGGCCAGAAATTTACTTTCCTGAAAGAGTTCTGAATCCTGACAAATGATTGTAAAGATAAGGAACCTAATGGGCTGGGTATAACCCCGGGTTCTTTGAAATGCTGTGAGCATGGGTGAGCTTCATTTAGAATGGGGCAGGGACTGGTTTCCCATCCAGATTTTACCTCCAGCGCCTGGATCCCTAGTGTTGTTTTATTTCTAATATCCGTGACATCTGCTTAAAAATGCATAACCGCTGACACGAAGGATAGCCCTAATTTTACATTGTAAAGTCAATGACAGACAGTGCTGTTTTGCCAGCTGCTCCAGCAGGCCGACTGCACTAACTCAAAAGCTTGAAGTATTAAGCAGTTGTGAAATCCAACTGGGATATTTACTACCTTTAATTGCCCACAACCAACCTTTCAAACTAGGTAGACCCCAGTTGCTTCTTTAAGCTCTGGTTCTCCAAGGTTGATAGCCGTTTTTGGAATTCCATTTCACACCAACAATTAGGAATTGCTCAATTGTAATAAAGCATCATAATTAAGAATCCTTTATTAATTTTCTTTTACATTTGAAAAAGCCATATTCTGATGGCTTTTCGTTACAGTATAATTTAGCTCCCCAGCAACACCAGCCTAAACCCTCAATGGGCACCTTGGGCACATGTCAAGGAAAGGGTTTGAAATAAAAGCAAAAGATAAGGAAGAAGGAGGAAGGGAAGGAGGAAAGGCTTATAGGCCAAGAAAGTATTTGATTTCTATTGTGTCTGGCAAGTTGAGTCTGAAGGCAATTTGAAAATAGAAATTTCTAGACGGTTTAGATCAGAGGACCAGCTTAGAAGCATGATATACTTGGTATGTTTGTGGAGCAGGGAAATAAAGCCATCTCACTGCTTGAGTTCTTCTTCATATGAATTCCATAAAATGGGTGCTTTGTCAATGAAACACACAAGAAATGTGTGATTGAATATGATGCAGCCATGTGCAACACTGTGTCTTAGAGGGGAAGAATCCTTAATTTTGTGAATTGGGATCTAATTGAGAAAGTGATTCTCAAAATCTGATCAAAACTAAAGTTTTGAGGATTTCTGACATGATCCACATGGTGAGAGATCAAAGAAGGCAAAAGCCAGGGCCAGTGAGGGTTGCTTCAGAGATTTTGCCTGTGAGTTCATGTCACTCAGCATCAGGGCAGATAATTTTGCTGGTGAGTAGGGAGTTGGATTTTACAGAATGGAGTGGTGAGAAAGGAAGGCGTGCAATGAGCTGGCCACTGTGAGCTCTGTCTTCTCATTAGAATGTAAGCTCCATATCCATCCCCCATTTTTTATGGCTTAAAAAAATCTTTTTATTATGAAAATATTCCAACAAACCAAGAATGGTGTATTAATAACCATTTCTCCTTCACCTACATTTAACAATTGTTAACCTGTTTTTTTATTGAAGTGTTGTAAAATATAGACCTAATGCTGAAACATGCATTTTAAAAATGAGCATATTCCTGCTTACCCACAATACCATTATCACATCTAAAATATATAAGAAATACCTAAGTCATATTCAGATTTCCTCAATTATCTCCCAAATGGCTTCTATTGCTCTTTTATGCAAACCCAGATCTGCTAAGATTTTCCTTGCGTTTGATTATTTTATTTCTTAAGTCTCTATCAATCTAAACCAGAGAGACTGTATTTTGTTCACTGCTATACCCAGTGCCTAAAGTGTTCAGCCTGGAATAGGATCGCAATAAATGACAATATAATGGTTAAAAGATGGATTCACGTCCTATACCTTGGCAAGTCACCTAACCTCTCTGTGCCTCAGTGTCTTGCCCATAAAATAAGTGTAATAATAGTACATATCTACCTCCCAAAGGGCTGTGTAAGGATAAATAAATTAACACATGTAAATGTTTATCACAGTGCCCCACACATGGTAAGTGCCATATAAGTGATAATCATTCTTATTATTTGTTGATGGATACTGGTTAACCTCTATGTGCCAGGCACTATTTTAAGCATCAGCCAAACCCCTCTGCTATCGTGCAGCTTACATTCTAGGTGGGGTGGGGTAGGCATTAGGAAACAACCAAAAAAGGACTTGAAAAGTAAATATCTAATATGTTGGTTGGTGAAAGAAAAGCTGGGGCGGGAAGGGGTGTTGGGATGGCCTCACTTGTAAGAAGAACTTTGAACAGAAATTTGATAGACACGAGGGGGCAAGCCATTGGCCATGAGGAGGAAGAGCATTTCAGGCAAAGGAAACAGATGTAAAGACCTGCATTAGGAGTGTGAACAGCAGGGAAGCCGAAGAGGGATGGGCCAGGGGGAGAGAAGTAGGAACGGTGGCAGGGGGCTAGACCTTATGGACAAAAGTAAGGACTATGGGTATTTCCTGGAGTGAGTTGGGAAGCCGTTGGAGGACCAGAGGGCTGACGTGGTCTAATTTGCAATTTTAAAGGGTCATTCTGGGTATCGGGGTGAGAATATGATGAAGCTACAAAGCAAGGACAGAAGCAGGAAGACCATATCAAACCCTCAACAACATTTTGAGAGAAGGAATTATTGGAATCCTCACTTTAAAGATGAGGAAACTGAGGTATATGTAGGATAGTAATTTAAAGCGAAGGAATAGAAGTACTGTCTATTATTCAAATTCAGGTCTCTCTGGCCCCAAGTCCTGGCTTTTCCTCACCACTGAAAAAATTACAAAAACTCAAGCTGTTTTCCTGTGTTTGCCACAAAGAAATTTACAATTGAAGAAAAGCAAAATAGATTCCTGATTTTGTCCACAAATGACTCTAAACTATCCCCAGAATTATCCTCAGATCTGTCCCCTAAACTTGCCCAACAAAACTCAATGCAATGCACCTGATTAAGATGACCCTTTTCCTTCTGGGGTCACACCAATGAGGCAAGTATGAAGC